AAAAAACAAAAAAAAAAAAAAAAAAAGTCACTTAAAGATATCTTGAAGTGTAAGGGGATTTGTATTTTTTCTCAGTGTGTTTATTAAAAAATGTACATGACATGTTTTCCAGAAAAATAATGACATAGTTAATCAAAAGGGATTATATTTGCTTTCTAGTAACTTCCCTAGGGTATCTAAAGGCTCTTATGCATTTGAATACGAACAAGATAGCACTGGTTTGGGAACCTATTTGAGATACAGGTTGTACAGCACCCTTTTGCAGGGCCCTCTGCTTTTGGTCATGTTGTTCTTCAAGGGTAAATCTGCAGATCGTTGGCTTTTCATCTTGCCTGCACATTAACAGCCAAACAACAAATGCCAGTTATATAAAACAACAACGCAAAGGAGACGAAAAGCCAATCTCATTAAACCAACAAATCACCACCGTTTATAGTTCGCCCTAAACTTTCGAGATGGTGAGTAGTTCCACCCTTTGCCTTCACTAATGTTGGTGAGCTCTAGACCTTCTCTGACATCCCACCAAGGAAGCAGCACAGGAAGGCGTCAAGGAGGATGTGTGAATGAGCAGCAGTGTCTTTTACTTTAAAATCCCTTATGCGCACTCCAAGTTCAACACACATTTCTTTCGTTTCTGTTGCCTTTGGGACCATGAGTCTACCACAACTCTGTGAAGTAAAGGAAATGAAGTCGATTAAATGAAGTCAACTGTAAAAAGTCAGTTTAAAAACCTGACGTTTGCTTCCCAATTTACAGCTCTGAGTTCTTGTTGCCCGTTACTTTCTGGATTTTTCTTTTTACTATTCCAGGCCCATGCTCTTGAAAGTGACGTCAAGAACGACCTCTTGGAGCTCGCCTGCCTGTGTAAGGCTGTGATCTGCTGCAGAGTCACCCCGCTCCAGAAAGCCCAGGTGGTAGAGCTGGTGAGAAAGCGCAGGAATGCTGTCACTCTGGCCATCGGCGATGGAGCCAATGATGTCAGCATGATAAAAAGTACGACATGTTCAGAGGGGGGCATTCTGTACACCCAGGGCCCCCCAGTTTCAGCATCTGCTGATGTGTGACAGAGATTGCATTAAAAGTGTACTTCGCAGAGGTTCTTAGGTCGGTGACACTTTTGAATCCAGGGCTTCCACCACTATCACCATTCACAAGAATGTCTGCCTTTATTGAAGTCATCTTCGTACTTTGTAGATTAGAAAAAGGACATTGGCCACCTTGTACTGTTGGGGGACCTAAGTAACTACATTGCAGAAAAAGAATAGCCCCTGGGTTTAACACCATCTCTTCTGCGTACGGATTGTAAAATCTTACGGAAGTCACGGAGCTGTCCTCAGCACAGTTTCCTCTTATGTGAAACTAGGGCAGGTACCAAGCTATCCGGAGTATTTCATCAGATAATGTTTGAGATAATAATTCTAGCTTCAGCTACAGGTTTTCAGTAAATGAGAGGCAGAAAAGAGCAGCGATAAGTTTCCGGAAACATCCGTATCTCTGCTCCCCTCTCTTTTCTGCAGCTGCTCACATCGGCGTTGGCATCAGTGGCCAGGAAGGACTCCAGGCGGTCTTGGCCAGCGACTACTCATTCGCCCAATTTAGATACCTGCAGAGGCTTCTCCTGGTGCACGGAAGATGGTCCTATTTCCGAATGTGCAAATTCCTGTGCTATTTCTTCTACAAGAATTTTGCGTTTACACTCGTGCACTTCTGGTTTGGTTTCTTCTGTGGTTTCTCAGCCCAGGTTGGTGAAAAAACATGTTTGTTTCTTCCATCAGATCCCACGAATTGCTACTGGCGCTCCCTCTTGGCTCTTCACTGATCCGTGTGACAGTGTTACAGTTGTACGATTAATGCCTGACGTAAACTTGGACTCTAACCTGAGAAGAGTCTGTGATCAGCAGGAATTTACTTGTGTGCTCATTTACTTAGTAACTAATGAGTGCTCCTTCCTATGCACTGTTCAGTTTTTAATTCACATATTTTAGAGTGTTGACAGGTGGCCTTGCTGAAGAAGACTTTCAATTAAAAACCGACATTAAGAATCATAAGAGGGCTAGAGATTTGGCTCAGTGGTTCCGCCGCCTGTCTCACAAGCATAAGGGCCCGGGTTTGATTCCCGGTACCAAAACAAAACAAAACAAAACCCAAGAATTGTTGAGTATCTGTAGTGGGGAGATGAAGGTTCGATCAACACACTGTGTATCTGGGCTCAGAGTAAATCTGTTTATCCTGACATCCAAGCAGTTTTGATAGCTTTAGCCAGCTCATTGGCTAAAAGTTGATCTACAGACGATGCTAGTAACAAGTAAGGAACGGCAGCAAATTCATAAGTTAGGAAGCTGTTTTCATACCTGCGAGCAGATAGCAGCTCAGTCCGGACCACACACACAAACTCTACACAGTTCACGCTTCTCCCTCACGGATCTTCTGATCCTGATGTCATACTTGGCATCAGTTTATAATTTGTAACCCTCAACAAATTATTATAGTTGTAATTGTCTTTGATAATTTGCCCTTTTAACCTGCATGCCAGAGACAGAATTGATTTTCCCATCATGATTACTGCATTAAAATGCTTCTCATTTGACAGTGCACCTACTCTTACCAGGGAATTTTCTACTTTCACTTATTCCCATGTTACTAATAAGCCCCCTCCTCCTTCAGCCTGAAGGGCTCCCTTCAGCAGGGCTTATAAGGCCAATCCAGTGGTGACAGCTCTTTCAGCTTGTTTGTCTGAGAAAGTCCTTGCTTTTGAAAGACAGTCACTGGCACTCGTATTCTGGGCTGGCGGGTTTCCTCTCCCTCCCGGCCTTCTGGGTTCCTGCTGGATCTCCCCTTCGCCTTGCTGCCTTTCACTTTCTGTTGCTGGTGTTGTTTGGGGGTCTAGTTTCCCCCACCCTGAATCCAAGGCATGTGCTCTACCCCTGAGCTATACCTCCGGCCTTGTCTTAACTTTCGACAGTTTCTCTGTGGTATGTCTGGGGGCCTCGCTGGTTTCATCTTCTTTGATGTTCTCTGGGGTTCGTGGTTCAGACTTTCTCTTTCCTTTTCCAGGCATGGTGGTTTCTCTCTGTGAGTTCTTTGTGTATATTTTTTTGTCCCTTTCTTTCTCACATAAGTGGCTCAAGCATTCTGCTCTACTGACCCCAGGAGCATCTTTCTGGCCGTTTGAATTCCCTGCCAGGTAAATCCCATATCTTTACATCATTTAGATCAGTTACTGGAGATCGATTTCTTCTTCCATCTGGAATTCATTCCAGTCTTTCTTCGTTTTCTTTGGCTCTGTATTGGCCTTGCACATGAGCTAAGACATCTTGTCAGATGCCTCTAGTAGGAGAAGGATCTCAGCAATTCATCTAGCCAGAGATTCTAAGGTGTCTTCCAGGCCACAGCCAGTGCACCGCTATCTGTTTATTGTGTCGCCTGGACATGAGGATGTCCACGTCCCGTCAGCACCCTGCTGGATTCTTGAGATGCAGCTGGAAAGGGTGGAGTGTTTACTGTTTGCTCTAATCCCTTCTCTCTTCATGGTGAAGCAAGGCATGGGCATGTATCGCCACCTATCTCTGCACTGAGCCAGGGAGATTTGTAAGGAGTGCCCAAACCTCAGTGTGGGCTGCACCCCAGATCCCGGGGGAAAGAGCTGTTGAGAGCAGATCCCTCTCCATTTTCTGTGGTCTGGGACCACTCAGGAGTGCTAAGCCCCCTGCCTCCCAAAAGAACATGAAAGAGGCAGTGCCATGTCTGGCCTCCATAGGAGCCACGAGCCTCGGTGTGTGACCACCTCCTTGCAGGAAGAGTGGGCAGCCTGGCTTTGTCATGGGCTAGTGGAGGGAAGGCTCACGATGTGCCAGGCTCCAGATGTGGTGCTAACAAGACTGTTGTTTGTTTGCCCTGTTAGTTCTGTGATGCAACTCTTTTGGCGGTCTAGCCATGCGCTCCTTCCAGAGAACACCCACAGGTCTGTTTCCTTGAACTCAGGACCCAGAGTGACAGCCCAGCGCCCTTCTTTTGTTCCATCCACACAGGACCTCTTCATCTTTCCTGAGGCAGGGGGATGGGGTTGAGTGAACAATGGACATCCACATATCAACGTTTTCCAGGGGACTTAGAGTCCCCTCCACCTTCCCACCAGGTCACTGTCTCCAAGGTGTATTACCCGTCCCAGCTGCACCCAGACAGGCTCTGGCGGGAAGGAGCATTATTTCAGGGCTGAAAACGGCATTCTCCAGTTTAGCCCTTCTATCGTGGTTTCACGTAGTTTACCCAGGCTCTCTGCAAGAAGCGGGAACGCATCTAGACACGAGTTGTGGACAGTGCCTGGTGTATAGAGGCTGCTGCGGGCATTTCGTGGTGTTGGATGCTTCCGGTTCCAGGAGAGCTTTCCCCTGTGCTCTCGGTCCCCCGTGCCATGGCCCTTCCTGCACCTGCTCAGTCCGAGTCTGGGCTATGCGAATGTGTGTAGCCAAACAATGCCATGGGGAGGCAGCTCAGGGTCCTAGGTGCTACCTGTGCTGAGGGCTTTAATTCCAGATGGTACTGTTTCCCATTCTGAGGGTATTAATGATACAATAATCAATTGGGCCACAAGGGATATATTTCTTAATTCTTTACCAGTCCATCCTAGGAAAGTCATCGATAACTTTCTTGTATTTGTTTTGTTTTGTGTGGGACTTGGCCTCTTTAGGCAAAGGAGCAATCATTACATAAAACTGAGTAGGAATCCTACACCTCTCTGCCCCTGTTCTTGTATTTGTTTTGTTTTGTGTGGGACTTGGCCTCTTTAGGCAAAGGAGCAATCATTACATAAAACTGAGTAGGAATCCTACACCGCTGTCTGCCTGCCTGCCTCGCCCCCTCTTTCCTTCTCTCTCTCTCTCTCTCTCTCTTTCCTTCCTTCCTTCCTTTCTCTGCCTCCCCCCACCCCATACTGGGGGCTGAACTCAAGGCCTTCACATTGAGCTACACTGGGACTCAAACTCACAATCCTCCTGCTCCAGCGTCCCGGAGTTCTAGGGTTACAGGTGTGCACCATCACTCATTATTATCTTTTCCCTGTTTTGTTTTTTATGTTTTTTTTTTTTCTTGAAGGGCTTGATCAGCAATAGATTTAACTGAAAAATGTTTTGGAATATTTTCTTAGCCCTGTTTTTCTGAGGACAATACGCTCTCACGGAGGCAAGGGAAAAGAAAACAACCTGTCGGGGAGGAGTATTATTGGAATCAGAGGCTCCATGGGGGAATGAATGGAGCAGTAGTAGGAACTCCAGGGCCTGCAGACGTAGCATTGCCAGGTGTCTCTTTGGAGCCGTTCCTGGGTGGGTGAAGCTTTAGTCACCATCTCTGTCACCCCTGGGAGGAGAAACACGCACCTAGATCTTCAGTGCAGAACCAACAGCATTGGATGTTTGTTCATTCAACAGCTATCAGCCGAGTGCCAGTTTCTTGCCAGGGACCCTGAGAACCTCTGGGGACACCAGAGTGACTTGGAGGGATGCATTTCCTGCCCTCAGAGAACTTACAGGCTGGAAATATGTTATTTTCATAAATGAAAAACTGATGTTGGATAGCTTCTCCATAGCCACAATTCTTTCTTCTTCATCCTGGGTCTCTTCTGAAGTCAGTGTGTCCTTCTCAAGGCTCATCCTGTGCCAGTCCTGCCAATGCCCATTAGGATTCATAAACACTGAAATATTGTTCCCTACACGTCTCTTCAGATTGCATTAAAGTAATCCATTCTGCAGCTGAAAACAGCTGACCAAATGTGAACAGGCTGTGTTTTTTAGACACCCTGTTGACTTCTTTAAAAGTTTAATGAATGAAGTCAGGTGTGCTTTTTCTGTACCTCCTCAGCCCACCTTTCAGAGCCGGGTGAATTCCTCTGGGCTGCTCTCTTCTTCTCTGATAATATCTCCAGTACGTTCCAGACAGTGTCTGTCCCTGGTGGTGGGCTGGGCTAGGTGACCAGGTCTGGTGGGCTCTAACATCTGAGGCCCCAGGGGACCCGAGGGAGGGGCTGCCCTGCCTGTGGACTAGTGGCATTTAGGAGGTTGTAGGCGATCGGTGCTATGATGCAGGTTGAGCTGTGCTTGATTACTGTACTCCCCTTTGGTCAACTCAGTTGTGATTGGAATTTGCCTTCACTAGCCTTGCTAGGTGTGCTCTCCTGGTGAAAGAAATGAAGCACAGAACTAAAAGCATGTCTTGTTGAAACCTAGAATCTTTGCCTGGCAGGGAATTTCAGACAGATTGAAGGTGGCTCCTCATTGTACAAGGAGGCACTCACATCTCTTAAGAGCTGAGATCAGTGGCGAGCAAGGCTGGGACTAAAACCCAAGCCTCTGAGGTTGCATTCAGTATGCTGTTTACTCTGGTTACTAAGTGGCTACTCAGTTTATCATGAATTTACAAAAGCTAATGACCATGTCCTTTTGTACTTCCTTTTCAAACTATATTTGCTCAACCCCTGATCAACAAACATTTCCTTTATTTGGAATCTGAAGGAACAACATTCAGAAACACTCAGTTCCATAGGACCATGCAGGCGGGAGCCACCGCTCCTGTGGAGAGAAAGCTAATGTCTTGGGTGGTATCTCCCAGAGTTTAGACCCATAGCATGGGTGAACATTCCCCTAGGGCCTAAGTGAATGGCCTTCTAGAATGATCTAGAATCATCTGGAAGCTTGAGGCCACCTTCTGCCAGCAAACACTCCAACTGAACAGCTGCTGAGAGACAAATCA